TATGTAAATAAAGTGAAAATAACGCGTGTAATTGGATTATCTTGTCAAAATTAAACATGCATTTCTATACCATGTTTCAGTTTTGATCACGTGGGTCTTTTCATTGAATCTGATAGTAAGAGGGAATGTGATATTGACACGATTTGGCGATACAGTGAACCGTAAGAAATAATTAAAATTGACCAACAGCTTGTTTGAATTAGTTAAAAAATTAAACTCAAGCTACAAGTTTTTCTTGCTATTCAACTACGAACCAAAGTTCAAAACGTCTTTTCTTGGATTAGTACATGTAAGTTAACGCTGAAGACGATTTCAGTCTTGCATCAAGTCCTCGTAAAACAAAGTATATTCATATTTATTTAACTACATACCATGTTTTATTGTGCTCGTTATAAAAACTCTTATAGAATAATTTTAACCACATGCATCGACTAGTTTATGTTATTAGGTACAAGCAGTGCAACATATCACAACAATATGAATAAATAGCAAACACAATAAATATACCCTTATTTACGTTTTTTAAAAAAGCCTTGCATTTGGCATTTCTTTTAAGTATTTCACCTTGAATATCTTAATTTTTCTTCCTTAGTTATAAAGCAACATTATTTAGTAAAAATTTCTGATTTAACTTTAAAGAAATTTTATTGATTTCAGCTCCAAATATCGTTAAATTTCGGCCTTCTCAACTCCATTTCAAGTGATTCGAACTAGAATTACACCTTATTTGTTTTACTCAAGTTTTGTATTTTCGGATCCAATTCATTTATTTCCTTAACCAGATGTAATCCTTTGTTAATTGTTGATCTATGTATCTGAATGTGTAATTTCAATAAGAATAATTGGTATTTCATTGAAATCCATTCCATCTACAGAATACTCTAAAAATCAACGGACCTTTTTAACTTTTTTTATTAACCAATTATTTACTCAAACCCCTTCAACATACTATCGTCTCTTTGTCTATACTAGAATAGCGAGGCAAAAATCAGGAATTAAATCCAAATTTCATTTGAGTAGTCTTAATTTTTTTTCTCGAAAATTCAAGGTTCTTTTTTTCACTTTACCCCATATAATGGTGTACTTTGGAGCACAAAAGTTAGTCGAACACAAAATTCCCGTGCCTCCATGCGTATTTGCATGACCGCTGAATCATTTTGACCCAGTATTCAACTCGTGTGGCAAAATAAACAATGCAAATCCCCCCACTTCAGCACGCATATACCAGTCTTAAAAACTTTTTAAATCGGCCTACAGATATAATTTATGAGAAATGTGATATATGTTAATAGAGGAGAAGGTGGGGTAAATATGAATAGATATCACGTATGAAATACAAGATACGTGGATGATACAGGCTCTAAAAAATAAGGTTTAAGTCTATCTCAGAGGAAGACATTCCATCAAATTTCATGTCTGTTTATCAGAATAAAACTTATCTGAAAATTGAGATGCACATAGATACACACTTTGATATAATCTCTTACAAAATTAATCTTTATTTTTCTGAATTGTTTTTGATGACGATGTCCTTTTATCAAATTCATAAAGTGCAGTTTTCCTAATTTCCTTTTCTTTTTAATTACATAAAAATTCAACAACGGCAACCTGTTCGGCGTACAGAACTTTTTTGGTTTGCATTATTTTAAAATATTGTTCTTGACTTTTAATTCTTTCTCAAAATTGAAATACCTCGTTGGTAGAAATTGAAATACCTCGTTTGTTGTCTCAAAAACACTCGATGTTATAGAATCGACGTAGGGTGAAGTCGTGCAGAATATCTTAGACAGCGGAGCTTCTGATTGCTTCCTTCCAAAACTACTAGAAACATAATTAATCACAGTGATAGGGGGTTATACTTTTGAGTCTAGACGAAGAAAATAAGGTATATGTTATAAACATAAGCAGGTTCAAAATCATTAGTGAAACACCTATTTTCTTAGCGGTATTAAATAGGATTTTTTTTTTTATAAATTCAGTTTCTCGTATTGATGTTTAAATATAGGCCATAGTATCCGCCTTTTTTGCCTGTAATAAGACAGATAAATTCAAACTCAGATAAAAAAAAAACAATATGCCATATATCGATGTGTCACTTTTTCCCCCTCTCTAATTTATATTAAATAAATTGGAGTAGTACCCCGCCTTTAGAATAATTGAAATTCTCTAAATTTTCTGACGATGAAAATCATACTTGGAAAAAAAATAAGTGAAGAAAATTAGCGCTAGATTTGAATTACTCCCATGTTAAACATCCAGTGAAAACGAAAGTCACTTACAAAGAAAGTGAGTGACATATGTGTAAAAGGACCACCCAATATCTTGTATGTTGCACAAAGGCGTTCGTAAATTATCTCACTCCTGTATTTTATCGCAAACGTCCTTATTTTTTTTTACTTTAACCTGGATGCTCTGTTGTATTTTGTCTTGTACTCTTGTTCACCGCCATGTTTTCGTTAGATGGTAGCTACTCTTTAGAACTAGTGGAGTAACCCCTTTTTCATATTAAGTAGAACTGAAGTTTTAGATATCGAGATATTAAGAGGCATAAATAATTTAGTTCACGGCTTTTCGCCTTATTCACAGCTCTCAATGAGATAGGCAACCTGTCTTAAGCCAGCAATCTTATATTGGGGAGATAAGGGAATTCGGAAGCTTTATTCCGCAATTTGATGATTGTCTTCAAATTGACAACAATTTAAAAATGTAAAATGCTCATCTGAAATATGGCACAGGTGTTTATTCATGTCAATTTTTTTAATCTAACCAAATTTATTTTTTTCAAACATGGGGTTTGGTACATTTTTTAAAAGATATTGTGTGTGTTTTATATTTTTTGTGAATGAAATCTAACAAGAATTGAGAAAAACGGCGCACCATGTGCAGTAAAACAGTTATTTTATCACACGTTCAAATCCACGCGGTGGTTTAGTCATTGTAAAAACATTGCTTCGGACGCGCAAGATGTGAGGAAAATTCCACGCAACCTCGCCTGCTCTCCATCAGCGTTCTTCATTCTGTTAACCATCTTTTAGCAAACTCTGATGGGCTTTACAAATTTCCATCTGGAAGCACGCGCAATACATCAGCGGAAAACCGACGTGCTCGGATCCTGACATTTTTTTCCCTGTACAAAACACAAAAATAGCTAAAAAAGAAATGAAAATTATTTAAAAATATTTTCAACCAACCGTTTCAAATATGTAGCGAAAAGGTATTAAAAAAAAATAATAACGTTTGAGGGCTTGTAAAATTCGAATACTTTGTACAGTATTTAAGATAAAATATAAGTGCAAGCTTGTGAAAGTATAAGATTTGATAAGAAATATGACGATTAACAAAATTATTTTTGGTCTAGACTAACTACTGACATCTGTTGTATGAATAAACACATCCATTTCACTGGGCATTTATACTTATTATCATAATTATGTATTGCTTTTAAGAGTTTCGTTAAGTATGATTTTATTCGTTAAAGTCAATATTTAATGCGAAATGAGCTTAGCTGGGTATAGTTTCTTAGCAAATTATTATTGACAAACAACTTGTTTTTAGAATTACCTTTTTTTTAAGTTTGAGCTAAGTCGATAATTAGGATTTTAAAAATACTATATTATAGGGTTATTTAACTTATATTGGTGATTCTGGCGCGAGTTGGCTGTACAAATGCACGACCTTGCGAGTGCATTTGTACACCCAATTTGAGTACCAATATTCACCAATATAAGTTCAATAACTCCTTTATTATATAGCTAAAACATTTAATTTATATTAGTTATTTATATATTAAATTTAGTAGCTCAAACTAATGAGAATTTATCATTATCCGTATTTAAAATAAAACTGTGCAACATCAGCGTCTGTCCTGGAAGTGTTCAATATCACATCATTCCAATAACCCTACCAAGCGGTATGATTTGCTGTTGAGGTTTTTATTAAGGCTTATAGGTATTAAATTATTAATTAATAATTTCATTTTTTTTTTTTTTTTTTTTTTGTGAAAATTGACATACTAAGCATCCACTACCCAAAAATATTGCCGTTGAGCGTTGATCAGACGACATTTGTTTTTTTGTTTTTGTTTACAACGAGGCGTTCGATATTGAATACTCGCATTCGGAATGTTTCGGGGCATACTCGTATACATATATGCAAACTCGGCGTTCAATAAAACACAAAAATATTGAACGCTAAAATTCTCAAGACTTTTAGTAGTTTTTTTTATTATAGACTATTTAATTGGTATATATAAATACTATTTACTTCATGATATTTTACTTTGGATTTATTTTCATCTTTTTAGTGTCAGATAAGAGAAATGAATCTTTTGAGTATGAATCTTGTCTTTATAATTATACAATTATTTCTGTTTCTGAGGTTAATACCATGACTTAGCTAAGAAGTACAATATTCAATGAGTCTCAACGGCGAAATGATTATATATATTACTTTGAGGTTGCTAAATTATCGTATTGACTAAAAACGACAATAATTGTTTTATTTTGCAAATCAATGACTAAATTATACAAACTCGCCATCTTTCTTGTTTGTTTATGTCTGCTGTATATAGTCCTATCAGAACGCAGTGAGAAAGGCCAGATTTCATTAGATGACAAATAGAACATAATCAATGTAATCAAATTTGATATCCTCCATAAATTTTTGGTCCAATTGAAGAAAAAATCAGATATTCACCTGGAAATTTTGGTGCAGGTGAATATATATATATATTTCTAGAAAATTGGATTTTAGTCAATCAGAGAGCTAGGATTCATTAAATCGTATAATTTGATTTCTAGAATGAGACGGATTTTAGCCAATCAGAGGGCTAGGAATATTTCAATCATATTATAAAAAATATATTCCAATTAATTATTTAATGACAAATTTTATTTAAGGAAAGACAGGCGATACAGACGGAAGTGGTTCCATCAATTGACAGAAGTTCTTCAATTTGCCACAAATTAATTCATGAAGTGCTTTCTGTTTATATATTTCAGCTTGTAATTGCAATCTTCACGCCCGTCGTTGTCGTTTTAACATTGGTCTGTACACACTCTCTGGACAAAAGAGCGGTGGGGTGTGCATCAAGTGCCGCCATAATACGGCGGGCCGCAACTGCAATTATTGTCGCCAGGGATATTACCGAGACCCCCAAAAATTGATTACGCACCGTAAAGCGTGCAAAGGTAAGATGATTCTGAGTCCAGCTGTATTAAACTTTTTGTATACATTTTTATTTTGCAGCATGTAATTGTAATTTGCATGCGAGACGCTGTCACTTCAATAGGGAGTTGTACCTCCTTTCTGGGCAAAAGAGTGGAGGAGTGTGCCTCCGCTGCAAGCACAACACGGCCGGGCGGTTTTGCCACTATTGTCGAGAAGGGTACTACCGCGATCCCACAAAAACTCTTACTGATAGAAGGGCGTGTAAAGGTATGAGTCTCGTCCGCACCGTAGTCTTAAAACACAAGCACCTGCACTACTTGTACAGAGGCTCAATCGGACTAACGAAAAGTGAACCTTTTTTTTACACTGTCAGAGATTAGAGTTCCTGCTTAAGCTCCGTTTGAACCTCTCTGCACTACTTCTTTCTTTCCACTTTGGTGCCGGCACTATTTTTTCTGTTTGCTTTTGAATAAGAGAGTAAAACCCTTGCTTTTGATTTTGGGTTAGAGATTTAAACCTTTAACATAGAGCGACTGCTTCAGTATTCTGTAAACTGTGTATAATATAGATGTATAATATCTTCAACACGTAAACTTTATATTTTGATTTATTTAAACACACTTTGACTGCATATTGAGTTTCATAATAAAGCTTGTAATATTATCACCCGATTTTCACTAAAAACTCTAGCATCTTTTCAAAATCAGAAACATTAAAAAAAAATGTTACATACATGTATGAAAACCTTAAACATCTGCAACACGCAATTTACACACAATTTACACGCTAGCGAAATAGGATCTCTGTATATGGCGTGCTAATTTGTACAGCATTGCATTTTATGGCAGAGATTTAGAATTTAATGACAACACTATTAAACTAAAAGCATGCGACTGCAGCGATACATAGGTCTAATATACATTGCACATATGTTTATTTACTAAACCATGCTTTTATATGTATCCTTTATATTAGTTTATTCATATAACATTTTAACTATTATGCCAAATCTTTCCATCAATACATTTAATACATACTATTACACGTATATAATTTCATTATGGATTACTAATCTTTACCAGGATTCCCAAATCCCAAATCATGTTCAAATCTTCTTCAATATGTTTAAAAACAAAACAAAACAAACAAACAAAGAAAAAACAAAATTTTAAAACAAAGTAAATGACCGCATTTTTAAAATATGTTATGAATATGTAAATCGTCAAAGAACAGAAAGAAATTTCCACAAAATAAAAACAACAATGAATTTTTGAAGAGACATTGTGACCACAATTTCAAAATTCTAAAAAAAAAAAAAACAACAAATTTTTACAACAGATGTTTACAATCTATGATCGTATTATTGGTTGCCTTCAGTAAAATGTAAATGCGCGATTTTTTTCTTGTATTTCCACATGTTAAAGAGCCGCTTCTGTTAGCGGGCGGCGATACCCAGGTGTTTTATGCTAATCTACATACATAGATCACTAGTTGTAATGATTTTACCAAGTAGATATTAAAGAATTGTATGATTTTCTTCGCTGGGATAATTAGTCGCACGTTGCTGGAGTTTCAGGAAACATTCCAGGAAGAAGCACACTCGTGACGTGAGACTGGTGTGCTGTTAATTTCTGCAAAGCTGAGGGGGAGGTCTCCTTTTCTACATTGGAATTTGTAGCTCTTTTAAAGCTAAATAGTTAAAATTCAATTTCGATGTTTTGGATGTAGAAAACAATGCTCACCCTTGCGAAATGTTAAGGATTTAGATAATTCAAATATGTCCTTTCCTAGTGAATGATGTCTGGGTTGCGCCTAGCAATATGCTTATCGAGTTGATCATTATTTCAGCCATTTTCGAATTTATCATACTAGTATGGTATGAAAATGTCCCTCTGTTAAGATTTCTAGTATCAAGCATGGATCTATTTACCTTGACACAAGATGATGAAAACTAAACAAACATGTATATGCCAGATATAAGCTTGAACGAAGAAATCCTGAATAAATTCTACGAAAATCTTTTCAAGAATCAATCAAAAACGTATCTGATTTATTCAGTTTCTCACATTGTCACAGCAAACCAAAGATGTCCCCCAAATTCTTTTCCTATTATCCCCACCTCATTACGAATGAGAAGGTCTCTAATACATCTTTAATGTCTCTAGAAGTAAGGACATCGTTATTCTAAATTGCTTTCATCCCTCAAATCCCATTCTAGCATCATCCATTTTAGTTCAATCCCCTCTTTTAATAATGATAATTTAAAGCCAGTAAAATCTCAATTGGACTTGGGAATGGGGGTACCAGGTTAAAAACGAAGTTCACGTTTACAAAACAATGATGAGACGAAAAAAAAAAATAAGGGCTTGGCAAACCTTCAACAAAACGTACAAATTAGACAGGATATCTCTAGCTAGATGTACACGAAATCATGTTTAATTGCAGTTCTTGTAGATATTACACTTAAACCGTCTCCCCTTCTCGATTAATTTGGAATTATTAAAGATGTCTTTGTAAAATTACACTCCATTTTTTACAATTCACTTCGAATCAGACGCGGATTTCTTTCAGTGAAAGCGAGAAAGCAAATATACTCTGGTAATTGGTTCTTCGAGAAAAAAGCGAACTATTGCTTTCAATGAATTGCATTGTATTTTCAAGTTGTTAATTCGATCCTCGAGGTGTAAAAGAAACTGTGTGTAATCTGCTTCCGGAAAACCTAATCCAAACACAGTTCGAATGTTAGAAGACAGGGGACGAACCTCAAGTCTCATTAAGATTATAGCTTTCAGAAATTCATCCTAAATCATTTAATTGCAATGTTTGTAAAATTTGAGAAGAAAATCTTTCGTTGTATGTTTTTGTAATTTGGGCTATTGCATTTTATTGAATAATTAAATGCAACTTTGGACCAATATTATGAACAAAAATGTCATTTAAGCTTAGGAATAATAAACATTTTGTACAGCTTATTTTTATCTATAATTTCCTTCTTTGCTTGCTTTTACCTGTGATGATATTATTATTATAAAAGGTTATACCTATGTATCATTACTAATTTTATGTCGATTATTTACTTTTAAAAAAAAGTTTTAAATTTGAATTTTTTATGTGTACATCTGTTTAGTTTAATACTCGTATCTTATTTGTTTATGTGTATTGAATGCACAATGCAGAGAATATTTAATTTTTTTAAAGCTTAGAATACATCTACTAGTATTTTGATTGATTTAAGTGTTGAATTGTTTTGATGTCAATTTCAGCTTGCAACTGCCACCCTGTAGGAGCTCTCGGGAAAATATGTAACCAAACTTCCGGTCAGTGCCCTTGTAAAGATGGCGTCATTGGACGAACATGCAACCGTTGCCATAGTGACTACGATCAAACGGCTTCTTTGATACAACCTTGTATTAGTAAGTGTATCTTGTCATATCTTCTCCCTATATACGTTTTCTGATTTGAATTCTGTCAAGTAAGAAGTCATTTGTTTGTGCTGACTTCTAGTCTATTTATATCATATAGAAGTGCAGTATTTTCTATGGTTTGAAGATGTTTTACAATTTAATGGAAACATGTAATTTCTTGTTCAGCCAAAATCTGATCAAAAGTGAAAGCGATGTATGACATTGTATATATACTTTTTATTTCGTCATATTTATTACATTACATAATTATTTATTTACTGATTCAGCTGGGTGTACTAGCATTATTAACATTTAGAATAATGGTATTTAAAATCATACAAATTTCTCAGTAACAATGTGGCTGTGTTTTAACTATTCATATACTTCAATGCCATTCGATACTGAAGTGTTATTCAAACGTTCAAAAAAGATAAGAAATCTCGATCATATTATTCTGTTTTCAGTTGCAACGACGACAGCACCACCCTTTATAAATACTACCACAGATGGCGCTCCAACTAGTTAGTGATTAAGACATTTTGCGCATGCGTAGTCAAGACACTCTTATGACATCTGGCTAAAGACTTTTCTCACGATAAATTGCTTTCAAAAATGTAAAATACGCACTGGAAATAATATGTCGGGGCTTCTTTCATTCTCAACCTGGCATGAATAGAGTAGTAAGATATGGGTAATTAATGAATAGACAGATATGTCTGTACAGTATCGTATAATGGCGTAAGGCAAGACTACATAAGCATGACCAGAATCCATTAGTCTGCTCCATTTACTGGAGATGGATAAACAGCACGTCTAAGGCACAGATACTTGGTGTTTTTTTTTTTATGTATGACATAAACGGGTGTGGTTGATGAACGACACGGCATGTTCTAGCAAATTTCAACACAAGATGAAAATTATTAACCCTTTCTCTGTCTCCACAAGAATAATCACTGCATGTCAGTTTCACTTTTGTCTTGGTTGGTGCTCGTTTTCATGTAGATCTACATGTTCTGTTTTTCTCATCTGCTTCCGGGTGTGTTTCTCTTAAAAATACCGAATCCTTTTTCACTGAAAATCAATGATATTGTAATAAAGGATTTGTATTCGCACTGCATAATGGCAATTTGTGAAAAGAAATGTCCAGTGACTGCGTTATCGATATATATGCCTAAAAAGGCTTGCTTGATAGCTACTGTGCTTTCACTTCTGAGTGCTCAATGTCGTGTTCGAATGGCTATTCAGTATTTCAATTTATACAATGAATTAACGATTTTTTTTTCAAAGATCATAGTTATAATACTTGTATCTCTTTCTTCTTTGGAAACTTTTTTTTATACCATCTAAGTACAGTTTCATAAAACTTTAGTGCCCTGTGTTAATAGATTTAGAAACAGTTCCGCACTGGATAGTCTAATAATTATAGATTTTTTTTTTCGGATTTCCAACACTCGAAAAACAAATTGCCACACGTTTAATTTCAGTTTGAGGAGGTTTTAACAGCTGAAGCAACTAACACTCTTAAGAATTCTGAGTGTGTTTGGGATGATAACGTGAATTTCATAAACAGAATTTGTTAGAATTCAAGAAAGTCATTGATAAAGCTAGTAATTTATGACTTAAGTCTTAGATGAATAATAATCAAAATTTTGGAGATACAAGTTGCATAAGTTAACATTTTCGAAGAATTTAATACTTTTATGCATTTCTTCTTTATCATATTATTATATCTGTGGTTTGCCCAACCAGTTTAATACGGAATTAATTTTTCTTTCTTTCAGAGAGACCAAAAACAACACCTCCTGTTAAAACGCAGAAAAAAGACAGTAAGTTTTCAAAACTTTTAATGAAGCAGTGGGCTTTGCTATGGTACAACTTATTAACAACCTGTCGGACTAGATTGAGTAGAACTCTTTGCTGTATTTTCAAAGTCGAATCACACTTGTGTCAAAAGATAGGCATCTGGGTTTTTCCATGGGTACATATGTATCGAGAAATTTAATAAAAATTTAACACGTAATAAATACTCTTACTTCTATTAATTTAATTACTTTTTACAGTTCAAAATTAAAGATTTGTTGATTAGGGTGATCATCTTGGGGATCCTTGAATACATTAGAGAGTGGGTGTATAAATCTGCCGTATTGAGTCCATGGAAATGTCAAATTGTAGTAGAAAATGTCATCAATATTTTTTTATTCCACTCTAAAATTTTGCAATCTGTAGACGTCTTCATACATTATCAACGAATTCATTTACTTCATTCAGTATTACACAGTTAAATTATAATCAGAATGTACCTACACAAGATCAATATCTTAATGAAAGACATTATTTTCATTTGGAATTTCATGTATGTCTTTAAGTCAGACCTGTGAATAAAGTGTTTGGGTTTGATATTCAAAACATGCCATTGAAATACTATACAAGTATTTAGTAGATGATTGCTTTTATTACATATAAACAGACTTATGTTATGAAATCCGAGAAAAATTTGTCTCATGTCACCTTTGTTATTTGATAGTCAAGTTCTTTGTCGTAAGGCCATAAAACATTGACTTCCTAACAGTCACTAGGAAAAGATGTCTCTCAGCGTTTAATTATATTCTAGTGATTTCAAGATGTGGTTTGCGTTCTCAAAACCGTCAGCACATTTATATCTAATTAAAACTCCACATTAAAGGAAATATTCCTCATTGGATATTCTTAATTTGCTGTCTGTACATTACCCGGAATAACACAGTTCACCTGATTTGGTTTTATGTCTGTCTTTGTTACAAAAACGATGTTATAATTTCCGATGTCTCAAAGACCACAGACCTGCCTTGGGCAATGCGACATGATTTTTCTACGAAGTTCGAATTGCAAAAAAGAACAAAAACGTGCGCGGATTAGTGTACTAAGTACATCAATTTATAATCATTAATATCAAAAGCACATTCGTCTATAAAAGTAAAAACTAAATTACGTAAATAGTTATATTGTTTAAAAAAAACAAGGTTATTTTAAACAATAGAGTGCAATGAACAACAAAGGTATTTCTTCATACTTTTCTCTCACTTATAATATTATAAGTACAAACCAGTAGACCTACAGTCTCATCAAATCCTTTTGGTTAATCTAAATGCTTTTGCGTTTGGCATTTTATCTGAATTGATCAAGGACTATTTCAATTCATTTTGTGTGTTGAATTTTTTAGAGTGTTCGAAATGCAGAAAGAAACAGAAAAGACTGAACCTTCGCAAATTCTGTCGAAGAGATTATGGTACGTACATTTATTAAACGAGAAAATATTTGTGTCACGCTTCAGGCATACAACTTTTAAGAATATCAGTCAGATATTTCTTAAGGTACATTGCAGTTTTTTAATTTAATAATTTTATTTTATTCCCTATAAATTTCAGCGATCCAGGCCAGTATTCTGTCTCGCAAGACGGAGGGAGAGTGGGTGAAATATACCATAAATGTTATCAGTATATACAAACGCAATTCTCAACAGAAACGAGGCGAAACATTCCTATGGGTTCCCAAACGCGATGTGAAATGTAAATGTCCGAAACTGCGGCAAGGCAGACGGTATTTTCTAATTGGTCGAATGCGGAACCCCTACGGAAAACCCGGAGGGTACATTGCAGATAAAAGTACAGTTGTGATTAGGCATCGGGAACGATGGCACAAAAGAATAAGATTATTCACGAGGAAAGAGAGAAGAGGAAAGTGTAATAGTTCAGATCGCAGGAAAAGAACATAGTGTATAGACGGGATTTATGTCTTAATGGTTGTGAACAAATGAAAGCCAAACCAAAGATTTATTACCAAACAGAATTTTGTTTAAGTTGGGTGCTGCAATCAAAGAATTGACAAGGACGCCCTCTTGAATTATGAAGCACGTCTGTGTTTTTTTTTCTTAAACAAAAGGACGAAGTTTAAATCACGTGGTTATGCCGAAAAGGAAGTGTCACGTGATTATATGAGGTCATGTGAACATGTGAATATGAAAGTGACAGCCATTGTTAGACTGCCTTTTTATTCATGAGTATTATCACAAAGGATCTATTCCACCGTTGACTGTTTTGCTTAATAACAGAAAGTCAAGGGAAAATGTGACTTTTTAAAGAAGGATTTCGTTTTCTGTATGTAGACTGGAAGTTGAAATGGCGAACATTATGGATTGTGTTAATACTTTAATTTGTATATTTTGCCAAAGTCTTAGAAACATTTCGCTGTACATTTCCAATTTGTTATAATGAAAAGCAAATTTGTTGTAAATAAGCTGTTTTATATGATGTAATACCGAATTTTCAGCACATGATATTAAGTACTTCATTTTGGGTAACTACTTTTTGAATTAAGAGATGACGCACAATCAATTTCCTTAACGTTTTTTCTGCTTGAAAATGATTTCGCAATATCGTGATAGTTCATGTTAATTAAATCACCATGATAAAGAGTGTTAATTTCTACTATTATGCTGAAACAAGGTTATTTCCTGATAGTGCATTGTCATGTCAATTTCTAGATATCATAAAGACGCAGAATTTAGCTGCAATTTAGATGAAATGGAATACTCTCTGTGGTCAGTAAATGTTCTGGTGATGTCATAAGTTGTATTATTTATATTCATTTACTTATCTGTTGTAATTATTGTTCACATTATTTGTAATTAAATGTATTTTAATTAAGAAGGCTATAAATATCCGTCATTTCTTAAACCTCAACACGTGAACCCAAATAAAAATTATTTGAAATATCGTTGCCTTTTTCTGATTCTTATCCGTTTGTTTCTATTTTGGAACAAGATTGGAAAAGTTTATCAAAGCATGTCATAACGTAAAATATGAAGGTTTATATAAGGCAGCAATTGTGATTGAGATTTCTTGTCATTTCATTTGACGTCTGCGCAATATTAAGCACATGAGAGACATTGAAGAAACGCCAAATCCAAGTGTTTCAAAATAAACATGAATATCGGTCCAGAAAAAAAATATATGCATAAACTTTGATTTAATGAAAGATTAAGGAAATTAAGAGCCGTTGGCATAGAAGTGTATGGAGCATCCAAGCAAATACAATCTTTTTTGAAGATGTTCACACTTATTGAAATTTTGATCAAGCTTTTATCTGATGAGTGTGGTAACGTTAACCAAATATTGGGGGAAATGTACGATTAGAAAATAACTGTGAAACAAAAAATCGTCTGAATAGGACTGCCAGAATATCACTTTCAATGTTTAACATTTTGCAATTCTACTAAGGATTTATTGGACATTTTTAACACTTAATAGATTAACAATAGTAGGAAAACCTGCAAAGAGTAGCGCCTGGGGTGCGTTCTATAGGACCATCAAAAATGTCTTATCACCTACCACATCGAACGCACCCTTTTGATCTAGTGGTAGTATATTTATCTTTTAAATATCGGAAATCTTGGGCACATTTTAAGGTGGTAGGAGATTAACCCGATATTTGCTAAATTTGTCTTCCTTTTTACATGAAAAGCCCTCAAAAGCGCAGTTTAAATACACTCTTAGTCCATAAAACACGTAACAATGTGTGATAGGTCATCAAGGCTTAAGACTATGTGTTTTTGTGCAATTCATACTCAAAACTCCTTGAATGATAATCTATATTACCTGTTGAACAAGCATTATAAGTTCTTATATGAAAATGACACTTAATATATTCCAGCCGATTGATTTCGTGGAGACAAAAAATATTAGATATCACTATGGCTGAAAGTTCTCGCATTCAACTTTCTTCTTGACTTTTATAATTTATGTCATCCTGTAATCAGATATTCATATTTCCCCAGATAATAAAACATAAACACGATGAATGGTCAGTCATCCAGATACTTTAATATACTGATAAGTATCAAAATATACAACAAATTGTATTTAATAATTTGACGTATGAGGTTTTATTCAACAACGTCTTTGTAAATTGAAACTTTTCAACCCAATGAACACTTATAAAATATTTCATGCCGATTAGAATCGCTTATTGGAATTTCAAATCCATTAAAATTTACTTCATATTAGGTGCTGGTGGATGTCGGTGTTATACACGAACTAATGGTCGTGTACAATACATATCATTTGAACCAGTGTCTTAAAAAACCTGACATTTCATAAGATGAAGGCTTGCGAACATAATTCATAACCACTACCCCCTTTAAAAACGCTAACACATATAAAAAAGGAATAAATTCCAAATATTATACATGTAAACCCCCCCCCCCCCGCCCGCTTGAACAGTGAGGGTATAGAGTGATGGGAATGTAGGTCCGTACGTAGCTAACCCTTCGGGTGGGGGGTACCCGTCTCTTATCTGCAATTCCTCTACTAATGAATAAAATTTAATTAAACTTTCACAGAATCTTTATTACACAGTGCCATAGTGCACCTCTTCTTTTATGTTCCGGAAGGATATTTGGGGGGTTTAATAGCAAAATATGGACATTGCCATTTTTTCTACAATATTGGAGTATCCATTTATCCTGAACTCCTCCTAAACCACTGATTAAAAGTAAATGAGACTTTCACAGAGTCTTTATTACATACCTTGTGCACCTCCTATTTTACCTTTCGATCGAAGAGATATTTGGGGTTTCCAATTGCAAAACATGGACACTGCTATTCTTTGTATAATATTGGAGTACCCATCTCTTATCTACAACTCCTCCTGTATATTACTGAATAAAATTAAATGAGACTTGCACGGAATCTTTATTACATTATTATTTTAGTGCCATTGTGACCTTCTATATTATGTTCTTATCGGACAGATATTTGAAGTTTTCCATAGCAAAAATTAGAGTTTGCAGTTATACTCATATGGGAGCGGGGGGGGGGGATCATTTTGTGAGCTCAGTGCTCACAGTGTCTCTCGTTTTAAACTTCTTTGACCAACTGAATCCAGTGTATTATTACTTTGGTGTACAAATGTAAGTGTACGATATATGCGGAAAAGTTTACAAGCATAAATGAGTTGCTTTTTCTCATCTTGGACACTGCGAAGGGGATAAGTCTTCAAAAATTGCAAACTTTCACTCTTCTGAAATTTAGATATTTATAAAGGAAGGTATCAATCTGAAATCCCATTGTTAAACTACACTAATACTATGATACAATAAGATACCTGAACCCTTTGATAATTGTAATCTTCAAAATATGAACATCCTAAGTAACTTTTCTTACCATAGGAAAGAGAACATTCCAGCACTTTAAAAAAAAGCTCATTTCAATTCAGTTTAAAGAGAGACCAGAAGTAATATTGGCATGCACTTTTTTGTACAAAAATAGATTGAAATACGATATAATTTTCCCCAGATCTTTCATTAAAATATTAAAATAGATATACAAATATGTAGTACATATAAATGTTTTTATGCCCTTTTCCATTTTACCAATATCATGGAAACAGTTGGGAAAAATTAACATGTTGAATTATTTTTACAAATAAATTTAACTTATTTTTGATGCAGTAAATAAGAAAACGAGTGGGAGTGCATGGCTTTTAGAGATTCTTGTACAGTTTTTTTCTTTATTCTTTGATTATGAAAAACTGTTTACAGATAACAGAAAGAGGCCCTCTAGATGTATGCACTCTCCATCTCTGATTTAAACATGACCAATTTGTCACCATGCAGTCATTTTAAATGTATAAAATTCTTGTATTAAAAATGTGGTTTGCTCTGTTCCTAGAAATTGGTAACTTTTAGTGCTATATGACTTATTTCCATTTGCAAAGTGTTAAAGTCTAGTATAAACTAGAAATAATTATTTGTTTGCTATAGATATTTCCCTCAGTTGATAGTAATCATGGTTAACATGATATTTGTTTTTGTTTTTTTTTTAATTTTTATTACAGTTAGGTACTTTCTGAAGGTGTACTAAAATCCATTAAACTGATAGACATTACTGATTATTTCGTTTTTAGATTTTTAGTTGTAATGTATTGTCTCAGGGTTGGTAATGCAATTGCAATTCCAAAAGTTTATCCCGTTATCTGGAAAAAAATATATCATTGAAAGCTTTTAGATTATCTCTTGTTAACGAGCAAAAAGACACAAACTGACAGACTTTCAGACAACTGTCTGCAATAGAAATGTCATTCTCCGTCCTAAAACAGGTTGGCTACGTATCATTGCAAAGAAAGTCCAGACACAGCTATCCCAATTAATGTTTTTCGTATTTATTGTTCAAGATGATTGAAAACAAACTCCTGAATTACTTATAATGGCGGAACACCTAAGACATATATCATCTGTATAAAAAGGTAACACTGATAAGAAAGATCCAAATACATTCGTTAACAATTTTGTCGAGTTGGTTCTTCACAAAGTTTATTTGTTTAACAACGTCACTAATGATTGTCTGAAGTATTGGTTCATAACTTTCCTGCAATTAGCCTCTCCGCCGGCACACAGAATTCAATTACGCAAGTGATGACAATCGAACGCTCTTATAGCTTTGCGCGTTAAACGGATATCTGTTCAACATCTCTTAGCAATTTATTCCTCCAAAAAGCAGTTGAAAAAAGATTGACTTTTCTCTTTTGGAATTCTTTTCTTTTCAATTACAAGCTATTTGATACATATTAGAATATCACATGATCGGCCAAATCAAATGAATTACAATGTAAGCTTTACTCATTTCTAAAGTAAACAATGGTAAAACACATAGTACATTGTATGTCCGTCCTAAGTAAATCCTAAAAAAGAGAGAAGTTGTTCATTTTTCGAAAACCTTTATTGAATAGTTAGGAGTCTCAATCAGTGTGTACCAATAAAGTTAATAAATCTGTATGGATTATCTGTTTACTATCGTTGAAACTTTTGGTATTTAGCTCATCCGAGCCGAATGCTTAAGTATTTACATCGCTCAAAACAAGGCCCGAGGTTTAGGATGGACCAGAACTTTTACATAAAAATATTGAAGAATATAATAATCATTTTTCTTGTTAGATATTTTCAATCAACAAGTTCTATGTTTTATATTCATATGTAAAAAGGTTTTTTTTTTCATAGTGTAGATTATTTCTTCTTCAAATCATGGTTTCCAAAGCAAGGGACTGGTTCGAAGTAGTCTTAAGGACATACGCAACGTACCTTACCCACTGATAATTTTTCAAAATATTCTTAATATAAGATTATAATGCCATCAAATGTTCATAGACAAAAAATCAGCATGCATTACCAGGGGTTTTAAAAAGATATCAATTAATGAATCGAAATTTCTTGTATAATTTAAAGAAAAATATACAAAAATTGCTAAACATATATTTTAGATGTTTTGTTTGTCAAAACTTGTTTTAGAAGAAGAGTACAACAGGATATTTAGACAATAAAATGTAGCACACAGTTCCTTTAAGTATTGGAACTCTTCAACACCAGGGAAAAAGACAATAAAGTTCAAACTACGTTGCGTATGTCCTTAAGCTTAACATAAAACTACTATGCATTTGTACATTCTGTAGAGAGAAAAATAACTCTTTATAGATATTTTTCTCTCGAAAAAGTTTTTTTTTTCATTTCAATAAAGTAAGCATTACCAATTCGAGGTTGTGGAAACTTACAGCCAGGCAGCCCTACCTTTCGGTGTAAGACGAAGTCAGCATGAGGTTACAACTTACAAACTCAAGCTCGTGGGAATCATACAATAGAATATGATGTTTTAGAAAACGTTTATTCTACCTATTGAACACATTGTAGGAGAATAAGTAATTTTGAAACAAAAGAAATGAAAAAT